TTAAAAATAATTAAATCAACTCAACATATTTATTTTCTTTTCTTGTTATTTTTATCGTGTTTCATTTTCAAAATATGTTTTTCCAAAATTTAATTTTTGTTTGTTGATTTAATTTTTTTTAAAAAAGAGAGAGTTAATATTAATATTATATATATATATATTAAAATTTTATTTGTGAAATGTGGAGACATTATTGGATTTGGACATCTCATTTGGATATCACTGATTTCATGAGTATGTAGAACATATTAGTTTAGGACTAGTCATATATTGCAATTAGTTAACATCATCATATATAATATCATAATTAATTGAACATATTATTATCATTTTAAAATTGAAAATAAGTTAGATCATTTCGTTAAAATAAAAATAGTTTTCGCACTTTAAGAACTTTTTTTAGATAAAAAATTTTTATTATTATTCACTCATTAAAGAATCAAAATTTTCTTTTCTAATTTTTGAACTTGCATTACACACAACTTTTGTTTGTACTCTTTTCTAATTTTTGAACTTGCATTACACACAACTTTTGTTTGTACACATCTAACATCTGAATTTTCATATTAAATTATTTAACATTTTATATTTTTAACATCACATAAAAATATCACAAATTTTTTTAGAGCGAACACACTTTTTCATGCATATGATCTCACTTAATATTTGAGAAAATATCATATAAATAAATATTAAAACTTAGGTATGGATACAAATATAGAATTACATGAAATGCATGCGGATCCTCTAATCTTTCATAAAAATTTTAAACTTCATTTTTCTTCGTGTTCTACCGAGAAAATATTTGCGTACATAAGACGTACGCAGTACTGCGTACGTTCAGGGGTTATTCAGGGGGTACAGGGGGGTTATATCGAAGTTATACCCCGCTGTAACCCCCCTTTAACCTCTTTGTAAACTACTTGTAACCTACAAATGAGTTCCACACTTCTTTAATTTCATGAGTACAAATAAGTTATACGGAGGTTACAAGAGAGTTACACGGGGGTTACATAGTTATAACCCGGATATAGCCCTCTGTACCCCTTAACAACCCCTGACATTCTTGTGTACAAATATTTTCCGTTCCACCGATGGTCTGTTTGGGAAAAGCTCTAGCTGCTTCTTCAAGATAGTTATACCCCGCTGTAACCCCCCTTTAACCTCTTTGTAAACTACTTGTAACCTACAAATGAGTTCCACACTTCTTTAATTTCATGAGTACAAATAAGTTATACGGAGGTTACAAGAGAGTTACACGGGGGTTACATAGTTATAACCCGGATATAGCCCTCTGTACCCCTTGAACAACCCCTGACGTACTCAACGCTGCCTACGTCTTGTGTACAAATATTTTCGGTTGTAACGAGCTTCTGTTTGGGAAAAGCTCTAGCTGCTTCTTCAAGATAAGTACTGTAGCTTTTTGGGAGCCACCACATGCAACCAAATTTTATAAAAAAAATACAGCTTGTGCTACCAGAAATAAAAAATAATTTTAGAATGAAGACAATTGAGGCGCGCAGCACCACCCAAGTGCTTGCCAAGCTCTGGTTTTTTCCGTTTGCAATAAATAAGCTGCTTACTCTTTGTGGAATCACGGATTGGAAGAAAGGAGGCGCTGACTGGGAAGAGGCGGAAATCAGAGGTGACGAGTGATACGTTTAGCGTCTTCACGATGGAGAAAGCGCCGTGGTCAGCTGTTGCGATGGCGATGGCGGCGGGGGCGGCAGGTTTAGTGCTGTGGGCTCTGTGGTTATCCATAAGTCTTTGGTGGCGCCCACGCCGGCTTGAGTGCGCCCTCCGGGCTCAGGGTCTCGTCGGAACTCGCTACCGTTTTCCTTCAGGCGACCTCAAGGAGAACGCACGCCTCGTGCGCGCTAAACCCCTCCCCCTTTCTCACTGCATCATACCCCGAGTCTCTCCCTTTCTTCACCGAGCCATCAATCAATTTGGTAATTAATTGCGTAGATATTAGATACCTATCCCGCTCTTTCTGTTCATCAAACGATTACATTTTTATTGTGTGATGGTGCTTCTTTTCTTTGATATATGGTTTAGAAACACATTATTCTTTTACTTCATTTAAACTTTTCATGATACAAACAGAGAAAGAACATATTTGTAAAGTAATTGAATTGAGCTTGAGCAAAGCAATGAAGTCACTGGTAAATGATTTGCGGTGAGAGATGATATAACCACTTCTGTAATGAAGGATAGAATTTTGGTTAAGTATATTATAATGATATTGAATTGAACAAAAGTTCGTTGTGCAGGGAATGTTATTGTATCTCGTGATATTGCACTTTCGTTGTGTTTGTGTTTGCGTGAATTGGCTTTCAAGCAGCGCAGAAGGTTTTCATGTTTCAAGTGTCAAAACTCGACTCTGTTAGATTTGATTCTAACTCTCAATGCTGGCTGATAGTTTTTCTAGACAAACTGTTGAAGTTAAGCTCTTTGAAAAGATACTCTCTTTGAACTAAGAACTGAATATCATATTGATATGCAAATTAGGTAAATTTTGCATTACGTGGGCTGGTCCTGTGCCAAGAATAATCATCATGGATTCTAAATTGGTGCGTGAAATTCTAACTACCAAATCTGGCCTCTTTTTGAAACCAAAGTTTAACCCCTTGTGGAAGGTGTTGGCAACTGGAATTGCAAATTATGATGGCGAAAAATGGGCCAAACACAGGAGTATTATTAATCCTGCATTCCATGTAGAGAAGTTGAAGGTAGGTTTCCGTTGTTTCAATAATTTTATTCTATGAGCCATTGACACCTACTGCTCCCACTTGGTGTATCCTTTTCATCAATTTTTATCCATTAAATAAAATTTTGTGGTTTCCAGCATATGCAGCCAGCATTCTCCAATTGCTGTAGCGAATTAATTGGACGATGGGAGAAATTGGTAGACTCCAGTGAAACATGTGAACTGGATGTCTGGCCTGAATTTCAAAATTTAACTGGCGATGTCATCTCAAGGACAGCGTTTGGTAGTAGCTTTGAAGAAGGAAGGCGAATTTTTCAAATCCAGACAGAGCAAGCAGAACTTCTTATTCAGGCTTCTCAAACTGTATATATCCCAGGTTTCAGGTAGCACCAGTTGGGTTTGCTATTGTATTAGTAGTTATGGTTTATTTTATTGTTTTTATTCTATTATATGTTTTTACGATTCATTTTATTGTTTCTTTTATAAAACTACAAGCTTAAGCAGCTGAAGATTTTTTCGGGACACCTTATTTTGATATGTTGCTGCTTGATTTTAATTATCTATTGCAAATTTCTGGAGATATCTATGTGGAAAATTTTAAGTTGCAATATTCAGTAACTTTTTCTTGGTTTGTGGAGGTCAAGGTCAGTTTCTCCTTTAGATTTATGTTTGAAAACAGTTTATAACTAGTTTACTCAAGTCGGATCTTGATTCTAGAAGACTTAATTCAAATTTTTCTTGGCAAATAATGTGCTTTATCTATTAATCCTTTATTATTTAGCGAACAAACCGCCTACTAAATCCATAAATACCTTTGCATCTTATTGCAAAGGATCCATGCTTCATCAAAATAGCTAACTCCATGCTCTCAGTTCATTAAAATAATTTGATAACTTTTAAATATTGTTTGTCCGTCTTTGGCGGCATCTCGGGGCATCTCATAATCAATTTGCTGAAGTGGTAGGAACCTCCTGTAGTCCTAGTTCTCTGTTTTGTTGGACACTTTCTTTCTATTGAGGCCAACAACAATTGTTCTGAGAACATCTAAGTTTCCATGAGACCTCTTATTTCTATTAATGTTGATAGTAAGAGTAATTATTGAAGAGGCTAGGAGCAGTTTTGATGTTCGGTGGTTTTCGCAGCAATGGAGGGTTTTGGGTGCCTTAATGTGTATATGTAGACATCCAGCTTACAAAGTAGTTGGGAGAAAAGATGCAGTTCTCTACAAAATGTTATTGAAGGCTTCATAGAGAGGAAAGGTAAGGTTAATATATTTATAATATTACATATAATATTAGTTATGTATATATATATATATTATAAACCTTTTGCCATTGTTAGAATGAAAGAAAAAAGTTGACGGAAGAGTTAATATTGCAAACAAATTTTTTGTACCATATACTTGACTTTCAACTAGTTGAAGCCATTCGTGATTGCACACATAGGTTTGCTTAAGCCTACCACATAAATCTTGGTATTCTATTGTGTTGCTTGATCTTTTTTGTATTATTTTGTGGTTTTTTGTATTCACACCTAGTAAAGGTTTTTAGATATCGGTTATACTTTTTATAACACATTTTTATTTCAATTAATTTTGATTTCTTAGAATAAAATTGGGATAACCTTTTGTCATATTTTTTGATTGCCATTGTTTTAAAAAGTAGAGTTGTAGAGGTGTATCGCAAAATATATTAACGATCATGAAGAGATGTGCAAGTTCTATTGGATGAAGTGTAAACATCATGAAATTATAATTTTTAATAAATTGTAGATGGAAAATATGGTTATAGAATCAAACATAAAAAAAGTATGAAATTCAATGATGTAGTTGTGTTAATGATCTAAATGTGAGAAAAAAGTGAATGGTTGTATTCATATTTTACCAGCTTTCAAGAAAAAAAAATTAAGCTAGTCATGCATTCTTGAATGAATCAGCCACAATTAGAGCATATTTGAGTCATTTAGAGGAAGTCTTGTGTGGCCATTTAGGTGGCAACCATATAAATATCTTCTCCTTGAAGATTTAGAGTTTACTTGAAGTATAGCTACTCTATGAGGACTCTTAATTTTGGCCTTTAATGTTAGGAGATAAAAGATGGAGAGAATATTGCTTTATATTGCCTATTTCTCAGTTTTATTTGGCTGGCCATTAACTTATATGTATGTTTCTTTTCATGTTTCTATGTGACCTTTGTATTTCTATGCCTTTTGATTCTCCTTAAGGTCTATGTCTTGCAAAATCTTATATATGGCTATGAAATTTTGACTTGAGGCATCATATTATGAAATATAAATCATGTTTTGTGAAGTGCTTTCTTTCTTCTTCTTTTGGTTTTGCATGGTGATAACTCTTTGATCCCTAGGTTGGTGACCTGCACTAACTTTTTGATGATGTGGTTTGCATTCTTATTATTTCTTTTTTTTTTATTAGATTTTTTACTCCTTATCTATCCAAAATTCCGCTAAAGTGTTCTAGGGCTTCTTGTTGGCTTGCTCTTTCCAAATTAAGCCAATTCCTAAAATTTTTTTCAATCCAGCCAATTTGCCATTTTCAATTTCATGATCCAGAACATCTCCACCGCGCTCTTCCTAACAACTTTGACATCATTATTCTAACATTTTAAACTACCAATTGAATATTTTTATCATTCTATCTTTCTCCATAACTCTCTTTTATGCTGCACACAAAATTAGTGCAAGAAAATAAGCCCAATCTCACTACCCCTTTTTAGGTTTTAGTCATCCTTGGGATTTTGACCGTTTTAAATTCTTGAAACCGATTAATGATTCTACTAGTTCCTCCTATATCTCATACATCAAATAAAACTACTCACATCAACCTTTCACTTCAATGCCCATCATTTCGCCTATCTTAAATTTCTTTTAGAATTATCAATGGAAGAAATCTGTGGCACCATAGATTATGTACCAACATCATGACATATAAAAAGTGGTGTTAAAGTAGAGTAGATAACAAATAAGATTAAGGAACTTAATGAGCAAGTGAGAATGACTCCCAAGAATTGAATGAGAATTATAAAGAGGTTGTTGATGCATATGACTGACACAGAGATTGGAAAGGTCAGTTGTTGATGGTGTATCTAAGCATGGAGAAGTTTTCCACAGGCACTTAAATAAGCTAAAGGAGAAGAAGATTGGTCTTGAGGCATTGAATCAAGTTTTGACCATGTATACCAAAATTAGTTTTGTGATGGCATGGTTATTAGTTGAAAGGAGAGAGAGGTTCCAAAGAATAGTTTGAGTGTTTCAAATGGCTAGTAACTTGACTCCAAACATTAATTGCACTTCCTCATCCAGTTTAAATGCCGAATTAAACAATATAAACACACATAATTGGATCTAGGATAGTATTTATTCATTTATTTGTTGCTGTGTTTTATCTAAAAAGAGTCACCAATTCTTCTTATTTTGGCTAAGTCCTCGTAGTTTGTGTGAGTGAATTTCCAATCTTCTTTATAACTTTATTTTATTCTGAAGTAAAAAAATTACTACACTTCCTTCTGCATTTAGTATTATTGAATAATTTTTAATACTTGAAGTCCAACTTTATGTCATGCATGTAATAGAAATTCATTGTAAACCATTAAAGCATGCTCAAAATTTTTCTCATTATTTTTTTTTGAATTAGTAAACATAATGTATTGACCATTATGAATATGCTATGGAGCTTAAACATAGATATAATTTATTATCATATTGCAGGTTTTTTCCTACCCAAATGAATAGACGGAGAAATCAACTTGATAAAGAGGTTCGATCCCTTCTCAAAAGTATGATTGAAAAAAGAGAGAAGGCTATCAAATATGGAGAGAAAAATAGCACCGACTTGTTAGGCCTAATGATTGAGTCTAATTTGAAACAATTTGAAGAGCATGGAAAATTTGGAAGTGGTGGAATGACAACTGAAGATATAATTAAAGAATGTAAGCTCTTTTATTTTGCAGGGCAAGAGACAACAAGTGTTTTGCTTAATTGGACAATAGTTTTGTTGAGTATTTATCCAAGTTGGCAGGAAAAAGCACGAGAAGAGGTTATGCAAATATTTGGTAAAAATGCACCAGATTTTGATGGTTTAAGTCACTTGAAGATTGTGAGTGCTAGCTAGCTTTCTTTATTCATCTATTACTCTTTTGCATTACAAGCATGTGATGAAAAACTAGTTTGTTTGTGCTATAAATTTTTATAACTTCATTAAACTTCATGTAGAAGCATGGTAATGTATATTGGTTTAGATTTTGACATTTCTGTTTTCTAGGCTTAGATGAAGATGCAATTTAAATAAAATACTAAATTAGAACATGCATGACTACTCAGGTTTTGATTTGTTTGGTACTAGATGGATTAATCGTGCTCATCAAATATAATACTATTTGTTCTTAACCAAAAAATTGCCAAAAAATCGTGTAGATGGTCACATTCTAGATGCTTCTTTTTTATCCAATTTTCAATAAACAAAGACTAGTAGGGAAATAGTTCAGTTCAATCTAGTTTACAGTAAAAAAACCTAAGCATCTATTTTAATATTATAAAAATTACTAATATACCAGTGAAACTAATCGAACTGGATGCAGTAGTTTGGTTTTTTCATGATTGTTTCTTTTAGTTGGAATAAAAATATATTCATCATTATTGTGTAAATTGGGTTGTAGTCCCTATAACTAGTATGAGTTTTGCGAAGTAGGAACTTTATTTTTAACAATGTTTTGTTTAGATTTATTAACTTCAGTACATTTTATTTTACATCTTTATGCACATGTTTACAAACTAATGTTGGCTCCTAGTGAGGCCATAAAATCGTTTTATATATCATGGCTTGCTACCAATTTTATTAGTTAGAAGGGCTTATTTGTTAATATTCTACTTGTTGTCTCTAGCTTTCATTACAGGATAAAGAGTTTTTTGTACTTTGGAAACATTGCATGCTAAATTATAATTTAACGAATATTCTATGTAAATGGATAATGCAAACATTCTCCGTGGATTTGGAGTTGAATTGAAGCAAAGCAATATCCGATGTTCTAAAACATTTCCATTTGTCTTCAATAGTTGGATGATAAATGGCAAGGAAGGAAGCTTGTAACGATGAGCTTGCTCTTAAATTGTTTTGCACCTCCATAATTGGGCTTGAGAACTTACTTGGGTGTTATTGAGGTGGTAGGCATGAGGGAAGGGTGATAAGATGGAAGGAATAGGCTTTTAGTTGGGAAGAGAAGAGTAAAGAGAAGAAATAAGAAGGGGAATAGGAGAGGGAAGGGAGAAGGCGTAGATGGAGTAGGATAAGTACATGATAAATAGAGAAGAGGAAGGTTTAGGCTCAAGTTTTCATTTTATCGTCATTAGCTTCTATACAACCTAACATCATTTTTGTTTGTAGAAAGAGCTTAAAAAACTTATAAATAATGGATTAAAGGAAAATATTTAATGACTAGCATGTCCTAAATCTCGAGGGATGCTGGAGCAGAACAAAAAAAGGTTCATTACTTAGTCGAAGGAATTATGATTATCTTACTCTGATGCCAAATGATGCAAGAAAACTCTATTATCATGAATTTGAATTGCACGTGAATTTTTCATTATCCTTAATTCCTAGCCGCTACGCTCTAATTGATGAATTGAGAAATGATCTAGGGTAGACTTGCACTTGCTATCTGGTGGACCTCCATGGTTGGGATTGAGTTTCTTTGATGGTTGTTGAGAGGATGGGCTTTAGATGAGGTTGAGTGGTGAGACATGAGAGGGATTAGAGAAGATGCAATAAATTATTTAGGTAAAAGTGATGGAGGTGTTTAATAGGGTTCTAGTGCTGTTGGAGTGGTAGCTGAAGTGCTAAAGCTGGAGGAAAGTTGAGGAAAAAGTTTTGACTAATTTAGAATTTTCTCATATATTGCTGATTAAAAGTTCATTTAGTAGATGGCTTGATTTTATTTGATGGTAAAGGGTATATAACTCCAAATTATAGGTTTTTATATTAGATATAAAATGGTGGTTCTTTTGGGTCAATTGGATATGTGAGTAGGAAGTTATTTACTTGTATGCTTATTGATCATAGTAGGTTGATAATAGTTCGGGTTTTGTGAATGTGATATAACTTGGTACTTGGGGTTAAAATGTTTTTATGTTTTTGGAAATGGTAAGAATATAGGAGAACAAGTTTAGAGAGAAGTATGTAGAGCTTTCAAATCTTAACCAATATGAATTCACATATAAATAAAAAAGGAGACAATGCCAATTTCACATTATTTTTATTAGAGATCCATATTTTTTTATTAAAGTAATGAGCTCATATATGATACATGATATGATATATAAAAAGATGAAAGTATATAAAGAAATACAATAAATATTTTACATGAAAATTCATCCATGGATCATAGTCCGAGGTCCTTTCATTGACTTTTATTTTGAAAATTAAATATGATAAACCAAAAATGAAATAATCATTAAAATGTTTTGATTGCTTTTAGGAATACTCATTTTGAGCTGATTGATGTATTTCCAAAAAAATTCCTTCATACCAATTATATGTTGCTCCCATTTTTCTTGAAAAGCTAGAATAAAATAAAAATCAAGTATAATTAATCATCATGATTATGGGGCTTTGAAATTCATTTTGTGAGATTCCATATAGCTTATCTTGCATTAGCCCTCCTCTACTTGATGAACTTTACTCTGAGTCTACATATGTTGTCATGCATCTATGGCGCAAGGTGCATTCAATGCCATAATATCTACAACTACTAAAGTTATTGATAATAACAATAATTTAACCTATATCTTTCACAAATGAGTTATTTTGTCAATCTTAATTGGCCTTTTATGTTACATGCTCTCATGATATATATATATATATATATTTATATATTATAGATATATATAGATAAAATATATTCATGGATCACATTTTTATAATGCATTAAATATTCATTTAGAAATTGGGTGATGTGAGTATATTAAGAAAGAATAACTTCAAGCTTCAACGTTTTATGGATCATATTTTATATTTCATGAAACATTTATCAATGGGGTGAACTAACTTTTAAGAAAGGATTGACATGACTTTTATGGTATTCACTGCCTGAACAACTAACCAATAATCTTATAATTATGTATATCCTAGTTTTATTTAGCACTAACTAAATAAAATGAGTTTAATAACAAAGGAAAAACAAATACTACCCTTAATTTTGAAGATCTCTTATTGATGAAGAAGATGTTTTCCTTTTTGTGAAACAAAAGTGTTATAGTGAGGAAACCATTGTATATTGGTTCTAAGTTAGGGTTTCTCCTTGTAGTGATAGTAGTTTATCCTTGGTATTGAGCTAGTCTTTATTTTAGAACAGGGTACAGGATTTTGGATCTATGTTTCTTTGACTCCAGATGATATGTGATATTTAATAGGTTATTAAGCTTGTCTGATAGGTAGTGGAAGGGTTAAAGTTTGAGGAAGGCAATGGGAAAATATTTGCTTGTTTTGACTTTCTTACATATTTTTACCTGGAACTTTATTACAGTTGATGACTAGGTTTTATTTTTCGATGGAAACTAGGTGGAAATCCAAATTAGAGGTTAAGAATGCTACTAACTAATTAAGGTTATTTTAGATCTATTGAATATGAGTACTTCAAGTTATGTATTTTTATATGTATCAGTCACAATAGTTTGTATGATAGGATTTAGGATTTTGTGTAAGTGGTATAGGTCATTTCCTTTAAGGGTTAAAGCAATTCAAGGCTTTAGTACTGTTGTGGAATATACAGGAACTACTATAGAGAAAGAAGGAGATATGTTAAGATTTGAAAATCTTGATTTTAATTGATTTGTATTAATCAAAAGCTATCAACACCAGTGAGAATATAGTGAATAAGTTTGGAGAGAAGTATGTTAGAACTTGCTAATCTTAAACGCGATGAATTCACGTAGAATTAAAAAAGTTAGCAATGCCACTTTCATGCCCACATTGCTTTTATAAGAGATCAATTTTGTTTTTGATTAAAGCAATGATCTCATAAATAATAGATGACATGTATATAAAAATATGAAAATATATAAAGAAATACACAAAATTTTCCTTGAAAATTCATCCAAGGACCATATTATAAGGTTCTTTCATTAAATTTTATTTTAAAAATTAAATGAGATAAACCAAAAATGAAGTATTCATTAAAATGTTTGATTACTATTAGGAATACTCATTTTGAGTTGATTGTTATGTTTTCATAAATGGGGATTTAACATTAAAAAAAATTCGTCCATACCAATTATTTGTTGCTCCTCTTTTTCTTGAAAAATATAATAAAATAAAAATTGGGTATAACTAATCATCTTTATTATGGGGCTTTGAAGTCGTTTTTGTGAGATGACATATAGCTTGTCTTGCATTAGCTCTCCTCTACTTGATGAACTTTACTCTATGTCGATATAAGTTTTCATACATATGCATATATATATATATATATATATATATATGCATACATAAATACATACATACATACATACATATAT